TATGTGTTTCTTGCTTAATATTGTTCGCATTAGTTGTAGTTCCATCTTATCTAGGTCATTAACCCTCTTTACTCCTGGACAATATTTGATAACCATTCCTTTGTATATAGTCTTGTATTAGGTTAGAACCTTCTTATTTAGACAAAAGGGGGAGATGTAGTGGGTAGCCATTCCAACCTTGATCTGGAAGTTCCAACCTCCATTGAGGCTTTGGTAACTGTCATGCCTACAAGGCAGGGCCAAGAGAGGAACCTGAAGACCCGAGATCCAGATGCGTGGGCTGTTTTGGTGCCTGGAGGTAGATGGAGCAGAGATCTCCAGAGAACACTGCTGGACTGCGACACACCTTTCCCAGGCTCTGCAACCCACCTATCTCTTCACTTGTAAGTTATGCCACTAAATAATCCTCCCTTTTAACTATGTAGAGTGGCCTTAATAATTTCAACAATATATGTACTGCTAATATTTATCTTTATTAAGAAAGTTTGTAAAGGGAAACTGACAAGATGTTTCAGTGTGTAAAAACATTTGCCACACAGCATGAGAACTTGCATTTGATACTCAGGACCCAGATGATTTAAGGAGAGAGGTGACATCACTGACTTGTTCTGTGACCTCCTCTTGCCAACTGAAGCACACATAATTCTCCATATGCAATAGTGTGAAAAGGGTGATGAAGTGATGATGATCTTAAGTGTTGCTGAGGGTGTGAGGAATTGACAGGCTGATCATGCATCTCTCTTTTCTTTTGAGATCATCAGTAGTGGAGATTGAACCTTTCATTGACACATCCTCTACAGACTTATCATGTGATTTATCAATCTCAGTCTTAAATATATATTTATGAGAAATGAAAAGATGTCTGCTAAGACAGTAAATGAATCTTCAGAGTAGCACTAAAAAGTGCAAACAATGTAAATGTTTGTGGTTAATGAATGTTTGGCATGGCTTACTCATCAGTAGGGCATTATTTGACAATAAGAAATAAATATAAAAAGAAACAGAGTACATTCACACTGAGAATGTTACACTGAGTTAAGAAAGCTAGATAAAGAACATAATATATTTTAATATTTCAATCTATGAAGAAGAAAACCCAGAAAGACATATATTAGAATAGTGTTTTCTTGAGGTTTGTGGAGGGGAGATTGGAGGTGAGGAGTGTAGACTAAAGGGTGCGGTATTTCCTTCTGGGGTGATGAAAGTCTGAAATTTGTTTAGTGGGGCTCCAGAGGTGGCTCAATGGTTCAGAGCACTCACTCCTCCTCCAGAGGCCTCAGTTTGGTTGCCAGAACCCACATCAGGCAGCTCACAGCCACCTGTAAGTCCAGCTCCAGGGGATCCAACACCCTGGTGTCTGTGTGCACTTGAACTCATGTGCTCATACAGCATCCCATGATTAATTAAAAAAATGACTTGATAATGATTGTAAGACTCCGCCAATAAGCTAAAGACACCTACATTGTCATCTCCTTTTATTTATTTATTTGGGACAGGCTTTTCCCACATCAAACATGCTGGGTTTAAACTTGTAGCAATCCTCCTGCTTCAGCATCCTGAGTGTGCTCCCACACCTGGCAGGTTGCATAATGTAAATGAATGAATTGTACATTATATGAATTATGTCTCAATAAAACTTGTTTTAAAAAAGAATTATATATCAATTATAGAGTGTGAACTTCTATTATATTGTGATTTCTTTTATTTTCTGAGACAGAGTTTCTCTGTGTAGCTTTGCACCTTTTCCTGGAACTCACTGGGTGCCCAGGCTGGCCTTGAACTCACAGAGATCTGCCTGGCTCTGCCTCCTGAGTGCTGGGACTAAAGGCATGAACCACCACCACCTGGCCTACATTGTGAATTCTAAGAAAAGATCAAACTATTAAAAGTGGACGTTAAATAAGTATAGGCTGAAATATCAGTGAACTGGAGTATTGCTGATTTTTAATTTTATTCATTTCTTGATTGATAGATTTGTGTGTGCATTTTCTATCTATGTTTTTGGACATCTAGTGCCAAAGCACTACATGGAGGTCAAAGGATAAGTTTGAGAAGTCAGTTCTTGTCTCTAATCACATAGGACCTGTAGATTTAATGAGAGTCATCAGGCTGCCTTTACTTGCTAAGGTCCTGAGTTATCGTCTTGGCTCTATTTTAGGCTTCAATATGGGAATTATAGTTGTGTTAGAAAATTATACATATCTGTTGGGGTAACAGAGTTTAGAATTTTTTTCTACCTAAATATATCTTTTTTATATGGATAAAGTGTGTGTGTGTGTGTGTGTGTGTGTGTGTGTGTGTGTGTGTGTGTACCATGACTTGTGAGTGGAGTCAGAGGACAACTTGTAGAGTTGGTCCTCTCTTTCTACCTCTATTTGGGTTCTTGGGATCACACACAGGTCATCAAGCTGGTGTATCAAGTGAGTTTTGCCTGAAAACCACCTTGCCAGCCTTGGGATCAATTTTCAAATAACGGAAAAAATGATTTCTCATTACTCTAGAAAGACTTGGATATTTATTGTTTTATGCTAGTTAGTTGTTTATATGTTCAAATTATCCATGATAAACTTCTCTGAAAATTCCTTACAGAAGAGTAAAGCTCGTATAGAACATGGATTACTGGATCAACATAGTACAGAACCATGGAGGGTTGACACAGAGGCTATAGAGTATGAAAGATGTATTAAAATATTTAATTACAGTTACTGGAATATTTTTTTCTTGTACCTACCTGAGTCTCTCCACAAAACAGTGCCCTGAGCACAGCTGGTCCTGCACTTGCAAGTCCCCCAGGAGAGAGTCAGACCTGTTGTCGCCCTTCCTGTAGTCTGCAGATGATGCCCAGAGCTGTGACCTTGGATGCAGAGAGGCCACGAAGCCTCAGGAGAAGGGGATAAAACTTTTAATGGCTCTGGGATTTAGAGGCCACCCACCTCCACCACCTCCCAATCAATATTCTCCCCACAGCCTGCAAGCCTTGATCAAGGGCAATCTCCCAGATAAAAGCCCCCTTCACTGCTAGCCACTGCCCCATGTGGGGCTGTCCTGTCACTGGCTGTCTGGCCCCCAGCAGGCATGTGGCTGTGTACTCTCCTTCCTGTTCTCTTTGGCTGTCTCTCTGGGTTTGTCTTTTCTGCACCAAGATCCTGGCAGTTGCCAACTCAAAGACCACGCTTTGATCGTCCTGGAGATGTAATAGTGGGGGGCAGCTTCTCCATCTTTCACTTTTCTAGTGGTACCTTGTCTGACTTCACTGCCCAACCATCTGGACTACTGGCTTCAGGGTAAGTTTTGGATGTGGAATAGAAGTCTCTGAAATCCAGAAGCAGCTTTACAAGCTTGTATAAAGCCTTGGATAAGGATCGATTCTCATAATCTCAAATAGATGGCCACCACTTTTCTCTGTGTATACATGCAGTAGCTTTGTTTTTTTCCTTTTCCATTACCTCTGTCTGTCTTTCTTGTTTGTACCAGACTGAAATGTAGGCTGCTCCTGTACTGTCTTTAATGTGTGTGCCAGGGGGTGATTCTTGATTCTTTTTTTATATCCTTGGTTCCTAAAGTGGTGTCTAGATAGGTGTGTTTGTTGAATGAATTCATGTGTAAATAATAGATTTCTTATCATTTAACAGCCTTAATCATTCATCTATACTGTATTCCACTTGATTGTTATTTTTACTAAGGGACATGTAGTCTCCAATTCAGTAGGTAGTCAACAATGACCTTAAATTTCTGTTTCTTTTGCTGCTACCTCCTGGTTGCTACCTGCCTGGTGATTATGGGAGTGTATAACCACACTGACTTTATGAGGTGTTGCAGATCAAACTCTATGAAAAGATCAAACTCTATGAAAAATCCCCCTTTTGGGGCCGGGCGGTGGTGGCGCACGCCTTTAATCCCAGCACTCGGGAAGCAGAGCCAGGCAGATCTCTGTGAGTTCGAGGCCAGCCTGGGCTACCAAGTGAGTCCCAGGAAAGGCGCAAAGCTACACAGAGAAACCCTGTCTTGAAAAACCAAAAAAAAAAAAAAAAAAAAAAAAAATCCCCCTTTTGGATTTTTTGTCCCAGCTTTCCAGCATACTATTACACACAGTGGTTTTCAACACAAGCTTTTTTGTTACTGTTATTTCATAAGTGGCTATTTTTAGCTTTATTTTTGTATTTGCATTAATGGTGGAGTATAGAGTATATGGTTTTACTCATAGCACTCAGGAAACTGATGAAGGAGAATTGTTAGTTTCAGGCAATTTTGGATTACATAATTAGATCGGAGTCAAAAAGGGTTGTTAGAGTATTTTCTAAAGAAACTAGTATCACTTTGAATTCAGCCTGAAAATTAAGAGTTTCAAACTACTGCGTTTTCATATTTAACTTCAGTTTAAATGACTTTTAAACATTTTTGATACAGTATACTATTTTGTGCTCAGACTTGCTTGTAACACTTTGTGTGGTTCAGGCTAGCCCTTAACACATGATTACAAGCATGAGCCACCACATAGGACACATTGGTTATCCTGTTTTTTTAAGACATGGTCTAACTGTGTAGATGAGCCTAGCCTAGAATTCAGTATTCCTGCCTCCTCATCTTCAGTGCTGGTATCACAAGTGTTTCCCATCATACCTGGATCCCATGCTGTTTTTAAAGACAATGAGTGATAATTGTATGCATGTATTAGGTATGATGCAATATTTTAATAAATGTATACATTATAGAGTGATTAATCAAGCTCACCCCATTCATAGACCCATCACTTTACATTCTTATTTTTTGGTGATGTTACCGTTTAAAATCTAATGTGGGAATGGGAGAGAGGAGAAGCTCAAAGTGAAGGTCTTAGGGTCTGGGAAAATGCCTGAGTTGGTGACATGTCTACTATGCAAGTGTGAAGAACTGAGCTTGATTCCTTCAACCCAGGTGAACATCTAGCATGCTGAGCATCTGTAATCCTGGCTAGGGACAGTGAGTTAAGCAGATTCCAAAGGTTGCTGTCCAGCCAGCCTATCTGAATAGATGAGATCCAGGTTCAGTGGGATAACCTATCTGAAAAATAAGGTGAAGAAGGACCATTGAGATGCCTTATAGGGTAAAGTGCTTGGCATGCAAACCTTATGGATGACCTGAGCCCTCTCTGAAACCCACATAAAGGTGGAAGGAGAGTATTGATTCACAAAGTTGTTTTCTGACCTCCATGTGTTGTATTATGCTTTGGGCTACAGACACATCATATACACACATGCACATAGAATAATTAAAAGGTGGAGAAGCAATTGAATAAAATGTTCTGAAATCTCATCAGTCTTTGCCCTCCATGGGGAAACACCCATTATACATGTACCAACACACACACACACACACACACACACACACACACACACACACACGTTGAGCATGGTTGAAATAGATACTAGAAGTCAACATTGGGCCAAAACGTGTGCATACACATACACAAGTAAAAGGATTTCAATATCATTCTTGGGTATATAGTAACTGTGAGGTTAGACTGGGTGATATGGAGACTCTGCCTCAAAATGAAGACAAATCTACTCCCAACATGAACATTTAAAGTTAATTGAAATTTAGCAACATCAGTTCTGTGTGGTGGCACTTGCTTTTTTTTGGGGGGGGGGCCTTTGCTTTTAATCTCAGCACTCAAGAGGCAGAGGCAGGTGTATCTCTTTGAATCCAGGGCAGACATGACTTCACAGAGAGACCCTCTCTCAACAGTCCCTCCACCTATTTATATCTATTCCCTTCACACCCCTCATATACCTCCCTTCAAATTTATGGCCTTTTATTCTTTAATTGTTATTGTTCTATAAACATGTGAACTAATCCACAATTATATAAATGTGACCTGTTGAATCCATTATTGTTGCTTTTGTAAATGTTTTGAAATTTTATTACATTTGTTTTTTTGAAGTTATCATATGTGTCTAAATACATTTTGTTTATTCTCAATTTCCCAGACTCTTTTCCTTCTACACTTGAAATTCCCTCCTGTTTATTAGAGGTCCTTTTCCCACATTCATGCCTTTTTATTTGTGACCCACTGATTTTAATCATGGCCGTTTGTGTGGCTGTAGCTTTGGAACTGTCTCGTGGAGCTTGGTGGGTTCACCTGTTGGGTACATGACTGAAGACAATGTGTGTCTTTTCCCCAAAATATGTTCATTGCCAATAGTTCAGCAGGGAAGAATAGGCCCACACAATGAATTTTCCATTGCATGATTGGCTATTGACCAGCTCACATGTCTGCAACATCTGAGTCATATCCTAAAGACTGCATTTCACATCTCTTCTCCCTGCCTTCTGGTTCTTAGGATCAATACTTCTGAAATAGATGCTAGTTTCTATTGATTGTAACCAACCGTAATATGTGTTTTCTGGGGTTTCTATTGCTGTGAAGTGACATCATGACCATGTCAACTATTATAAAGGAAAACATTTAACAGAAGTGGTGGCTTACAGTTCCAGAATTTCAGTCCATTACCATCATTACAGGCAGCATGGTGGTGTGCGGTGGACAAGGTGCTGGCTATATATTTATCAGAAGGCCAACAAGAAGTTTTCTGTGACACTGAGCAAAGCTTAAGCAAAAGGAGACCTCAAAGCCCATTTCCATAATGACGCAGTTTCTGCAACAAGGTCATGTGTATTGCAACAAAGTCATACCTCTTAATAGTGCCACTCCCTATGAGCTTATGGGGGCCTATTATATTCAAACTGCCACATTAAACATTAGATTGTTTTTTCTTCATTTCCTGGAGAAAGAGTTTCTTTATATACCTCTGGCTTCCTGAGTTTAGCAATGTAATCCATTGTGGACTCCAACTTACAAAGATCCAACTACCTCTGCCTCCTGAGTGCTTGCATTAAATGAGTATGCCACCACATCCAGATTATCTAATACATCTTCAATTATCCCTCCAGTCTTCTGAAACTGTCCCCTCTTATAACTGTATCCATATTTGCTCTGGCTCCCCTTTATGTATTCTGAACTGTGCTCCTCTGCACATCTGTGTACAGTATTTGTAGAGATGGAAGGTTTTACATGTATCCCTTGAGTCACTGTGTTTATTCTTGTTCCATTTACCCCATCATGAATGATGACTGTGGCCTTCTCTTTCCCTCAGCGTTTCCAACTGGGGCTACCGGGTGGCCCAGAGTTTCGTCTTTGCCATTGAGGAGATTAATAGGAGTGCACACTTGTTGCCCAATGTGACCCTGGGCTTCTCTATTCGAAACTCTGGGGACTCAGTGCATGGAGCCCTCCATGAGACAATGAGCTTTCTCACGGGGCAGGAGGAGCCCATCCCCAACTACACATGCCAGCATGGCTCTCCTCAGGCTGCCTTGGTTGGGGACACGAGGTCATCCCTGTCTGTCTCCATGGCCAGACTTCTGGGACTGTACAAGTTTCCCCAGGTGAGTTTCTCAAGCCTTCTTCCTTCATGAATGTTGTGCAGTCCCTTAATGATGATAGTGAAAGTGATAGTGATAGTTACCGTAGTGGGCAGCTCTATTGTGGATCCAGGTTTCCTGCAAATATTCTCCATGCCCAATATGTTTCTTCTCCATGTATCGATACATTGGAGAGAACTATTGTCTCTCTCATTGATAAGGTAACTGTGAAAATATTTTTATTAAAAGTATTTTTTAAAGATTTACTTATTTCTTCGATGAGTATGAGTATTTTGTGTAGATGAATTTCTAAACAGTCTTATTAAATAAGAAACTCAGAACCAAATACAGGAGTGAAAGCTGTAGAGATCAGAGAAATAGTGAGAGCCACCAGCTAACCTTAGCTCACCATGCTGCCATAGCTTCCCAATTGAGAGCTTCTTCCTGTCTAACCTGTGCCTTTATTGCCTTGCTGTTCTGCCTTCTCATTGACTCTTAGCCCAGGCACCTCACTTCCTCATCACTGCCTGTCTGTACAGACCTCCAGGTCTCTGTGGTTGTTACTGGAATTGAAGGTGTGTGCTACCATGCTTAGTTATATCCTTGAACACACAGAGACTTTGCTTGCCATGTGATCGGATGAAGGGCATGTGCTACCACTGCCTGACTTTTGTTTATGGCTGGCTATGTCCTCTGATCTCCAGACAATCTTTATTTATTAACATACAAGTAAAATATCACCACATTTCAACACAAATAAAATATCACCCCAATTTTGCCTTCATATATATATACCATATATGTACCTGGTGCCCATGGAAGTCATAAAAGGTCACTGAATTCCCTAGAACTAGACTTATAAATGTCTTTTAGCAGATACGACGGTGCTGGAATTGAGCCCAGGTCATCTGAAAGAATAGTAATACTGTTACACACTGTACCATTTCTCCAGCCCCTTATCTATTATTATTATTATTATTTGTGTAAGTGTGTGTGTGTGTGTGTGTGTGTGTGTGTGTGTGTGTGTGTGTGTGTGTGT